CGTCCACATCGTCGGCCGGAATGTCATAGTAACAGCAAACAACTGCAAAATGACGAAAATCTGTAGCGGTTTTCTGCTGCTATGCATCTCACATCTCTTCATCTTCATTGCTGACAGAATCGTGATGACCCCAAAGCTCGAAAATATGCCAGCCGAACAAGTGAAGAAGCAAACAAGGTCAAGACTTACCACGAACGCTCTTTCTGGCAGCCACGACAGCCAAAGAGACGGAGGAGGAGGCGATGCAACTGAGCGAATTCAACTCGCAAGAGGATGCCAAAAATGCTGTAGAGGCCCTTTCCTCATCGGTAGGCTAGAATCGATGAAAAGAGGGCAAAAAAAAGAGAAAATACAATAAAAGGACTAGAAAAACGAAAGCAAACAAACAAAGTTTCGGAATAAAGTTGGCCAGAGGATAAATTTTGCTTGTCTTTCTTGACGAATTCGAGTTTGTTGCTAAGTCTGGCTGTCAAAGCTAACTGACGACATCATCGAAAAGTGTGAAAATGTACCAAGATTTCGATTGGATGCTGCAAATCATTGTGACTGCTGTGGAAGAGGATTCCGGACGAGTTGAGTCGCCTTGGCAACAATGGCAGGTTGTGAAAACAAGGTCAAATCACTTGTATTAAAAAAAGCTGGCAACTCATTCTTGTAAATCTCAAGTTAACAACAAGTGAACAAAATTTTTAGACTTAATGCTGATTTGGCACTTTCACAAGAATGAATTCCAGCTCTGATAGTCTCGATCGTATGATGGACGGAAAGTCATTTCTTTTCCGTCTTAAACGAGGGTCAATGTCACGTGGACTGCATCAATCCGGACGTTGTTTTAACCCCAAACGGCTGCAGAACAAGACGAAATGACCGTCATCTTGTGGTGAGATAAACCAACCAATCTCTTAATCATACACTTTCATACGAAATGAAAGTATGTCCCACAAAATCCGGTCAAAGATGCGAACTAATGGGGTGAGCTAATGCATAACATGTGGGGTTGAGATGTATTCGCCTAGACTGAAGGTGTGAAACACTGCACTTGGGTTAAGATTAATCTTCCCTTTTGTAAGTAGTAAATCGGATAAATGAAATGTCTTCACCATATTTAGTTGACGCTGATGAAGGACCGGTAATAGAATGTTCCAAAACTGACATCATCAGAGCTGGAACGCATTCTCATCAAAATTCCCACTTAATGTAAAGTCACAAAGATCAAACAACCCAGCCTCAAAGTGTGTATCAATTATCACATCTACAATTCCTTGAAATGCATAAAAATATGCTCTTTTCAGATCAAACTGTGTGCATTCATGTGCTTGTATGCGTTATGTTTGCATGTGTATGTGTCAGGGTGTGAAATCGCCAGTCATAACGCCGTCCATATCATACTTCTACTTTGGTCAGTAAACATTAATGACCACTATTTTGTATTATT